AACATCGACCAGACTACACAGCGCAACAACCCAGAAGACGGAAATCTTCATACTCATCGCCCTGATGACGGAGGCAGTATGACCTCTGAAACGTTGGTTAACATCGATCATACTACACAATGCAACAACCCAGAAGACAGAAATCTTCGTGTCAAATTTGTTCCTGTCATATGAAACAGTCATGTGTAAAATGTGTTTTACAACAAAGCGCAATTTTGTTCGCATATGTAAATCCCTTACCTCGTATTTACGGGGCACTGCGCGTGCGCAAAACATTTTCATTGCACACGTGTCTTGGTCTTTTTCTTCACGTGCCAAATATCTAGAATCCAAGAAGCCAAAAATACGGAGGAACAAATTCATGAATACACATTTCTAATGACGATGCCAGCACAGGTTCATGAGGGCATTTAGGGAAAATGTAAAATGCTTTATACCTGTATTCGAGAGGTCCTGGGTTTAAATCTGGGCACAGACACAGACGTCTGACACAGATTTTTAGTAGTTCTCTTCAGTTCCCTCAGAAAAATGCCAAGAAAATACCTTAAATCCCTTATCATTAGTAATTAATTAATTAATCAATCAATGTTATTCTACTAACAGAGTTCATTAAAAAAGTATTAAAGATTTTAACAAGCACAAATAGAGGTGAGAGGATCCGGTCGTAAAGAACGCCCGTTGTGTGGCCCTAGAATCGCTTTGGACACTGTGAAGAGCCCAATTTCTTCTCGGGAATTGACCGGTCATCCAGTACGCCACCTTACCGACTGTGGTACCGTGGCTCAACATCACGACAACAGCGCGTCCAAATGACACTTTTGCATGATGGCTTGATATCACGACTAATGATCGTGACTCGAACTCGTGACATCGTATGTGTCACGTGGTCACTGCTCTCCCCCACGTGACTATGCCTACTGAACCAATTATAATGATAAAGTAATTATGGGCACGTTGCAGGCAGCGTTTGCACAACCATTTCCTGGTTTGCTGACAATCCGTTAATTATTATTATACCATAAGCAGCTACTTCTCAGTTCAAATTATGTTGTCTTCCCGTCTGATTTCTAAGAACCTGAAAATTAAAGTATACAAAACAATAATCTTGCCTGTTGTTTTGTATGGGTGCGAAACATGGTCTCTCACTCTGAGGGAGGAACACAGATTGCAGGTGTTGAGGAGGATATTTGGGCCTAGGAGAGAAGACGATGGGGCATGGAGAAAACTGCATAATGATGAGCTTAAAAATCTGTACTCCTCCCCCAATATTGTCAGGGTGATTAAGTCGAGAAGAATGAGATGGGCTGGGCATGTAGCGCGCATGGATGGGACAAGAGGTGTGCACCGGGTGTTGGTTGGGAAGCCTCAGGGGAAGAAACCGCTGGGGAGACCTAGACGTAGATGGGAGGATAATGTCAGGCGGGATCTATGGGAGATATGAGTTGAAGGAGACTGGATTTTGTTGGCTAAGGACAGGGTCCGGTGGAGGGCTTTGGTTAATTCGGTGATGAACCTTCGGGTTCGCTAAGCCATCTAGTTAGTTAGTTAGTTAGCTAAAATCGCGGACAGAGTCTTAGGATCTTTCATCCCTCTTTGTTAAATTTGGAATTTTGTGACCAGTCAGCTTGCCTAGGCCGCTTTAGCCCCAAAGAGTCCTTGCTACTAACTGGTTGGCCCCAGAGCCAGTCTGGACGCTGTGGAGAAAATAAAAATGCATGGCATTGCCGGGAATCAAACCCCAAACCAATATCGCCTTAGTCTAGTTACTGTACTGACTGGGTTATTCAAGCTTCCTCCTTATTGTTGAAAGTTTTCAATTCTGATTAAGACAAGCGGTTCGTTTCGATTCTGGATGGAAAATTAGACGACCGAAAGGCATGGAAAAACTTTCTTACGCCGAGCGAATTTCGAAATTTCGATTTAAGTGTTCGAGAGATCCAAAAATTTCCCATCTCAGATCGCGAGGCCATAAGGTTCAGATTCTTTCAGAATACTCGGGAAAACCCCAGTTGAAGACCCCGGTCCGTCACTTAAACAAAACACGATCAACCCTATCTGTCGAAAGAATAGAGCTTCTTTCAACTCCGTGTCTTGGTTATGGTACAAGAGGCTCAAAGAGATTTGTCAAAACACACAGTTAAACAGTAAAATAAAGTCAATATTTCTTTCCTCAGGCAATTATCATTTATTGTGTCAGTGGCCTGTACTGAGGTGATAACAGTTGAACGCTCACAGCCGTCATTATCATCATGATCATCGCGGTCAGCACACTCGACGAGACGAAAACCAGAACCGGCTTGCCCTGTGCCCCACGCCTGGCAACTGGTTTCGAGGCCCATCAAAACGACTTGAAACAAAAAATAAAAACATCGTCCCATCGCAGACCTGATGCCTGAGCAGGCCGACTGACAATAAAAAACAAAAAACAACAAAAGGGAAAGAATAAAAAGAAAAGAACGTAAAGACTGGGGAACAGGAATGTCCGGGAAGGACTACATGAGCAGAGAGGTGTAGCCCACAACAAACTCGGGACCAAAGTTCTCCAAATATACTACACCTCCGATTATCCGGGTTGGCTGGGAAATTTATTTTCCAACATAATAGAAACCCCGAATAATCCTCAAAAAATAAAAAATAAACATATATTTTTTTAAAAAATGATTTACAAACAAAAAATATATTTATATAAAATTTAATACAGCACATACCAAACATTTTTTAAAAGGGATTACAACTAATTGTAATAATGTTGTATCGTAATAAATTTCCAGTTTTAGCAGCAATTTATTTAATTTATCTTAATACGTCAAACAAAATGCCATTGTCATATTTATTCGTTCATTTTTAATAGTTCTAACCTTTACAACAGATTTTAAAAATTCAATTTTAATTTTCGATTAAACCAGATAAACCCCGGTTAATCCGAGTCTATGGGACGTTCGTTGTTACATCGCATCACCCATTGGTCCTGATGTTCATGAAACCTAATCAACAGCAAATAAATTACACGGCAGAACGAAGAGTTTTATTCATTTCAACCTCCGCCATGTTGGTAAACAACCAGGAGGGTAATCTACAGTATCGATACAACACTGCACAGGTGTAACTCAAAGTTCGTAAGAGGATTTGAGCTGACGTCTATTCCTTTCACCGACTAAACTCTCGAGGCTCATAAAATTTGTACAGTTAATCTTCAATAGTGACATCAACAAGTGTCAGCCCTGTAGATGCCTTAAAACTGCGTTCCCAAATTGTTCGTGCACGGGACGTTTCTGGCTTTAAAAACACCACGAAATCACAAATCAACTCTCAAAGTATCCAACATAAAATAACATACAAATGTCGGTGTTGTACGACGCACAAGATAGAGACAACAGAAGTTAAAGTAGCTTATCTGCGGCTATGTTTTTCTTATCAAAAGGTCTCCGAATTCTGAGAGAACTGTTAAAGTCGGCACAACAGTATTCTGGTATCCTGTTTATAGTCAAACACGCATTTCTTGGCTACAAATGTACACGACATAAAACGATATTAAAAATACCAATATTCTCTCTCCATTACACCAATATTTTTGTATCGATATACAGAAGGTAATACAGACCTGTCAGTTGTAACGATATTAGGGCACAATATAGTCGATGGTACTTTTATCACAGGTCTAACATAAATTTACAAAATTCTTAATCAATAAAAATCAAGTGTATATTTTAACTGTAATTATCAGAGGCAAATGCCAATGAGACTCTACAAGTCCTGGTCTCTCATGGCGCCCTAACCTTACCGATTCACGCTGAAGAACGCCTGCCATTTAAATGCTAAATGATGTAAATGAAAAATTTTCTCTGACCCACTAGGCTTTCGTTAAAAATGTCACAATCGGAAGATATTATAAATAATTCTTTCAGTTCACGTTACCGAATAAGAAACCGCATTAGGGTTACAATAAAACGGAAAAAAGACTTCAAGAACATTATATTGTATATCGGCGTTTATAACTAAATCAGCTATTATACGAGTATAAAGTGGATCAGAAGTATGTTTACAAACTTCGTGTTCGTGTTCCAGGATCAAAAATAATAAAAAAAATGTTCATATGAACTTGGGGTCGCAAATGCTTCATTTTCGAAATAATATCCAAAAATAAATTTCAATGAATTGACTTCATACCAAAGTGAATCTATAGCTTCCAGCAAAGATTTTCAATTAACGTTTGCGCAGGAATTGTTGGCGACATGCTTATT